AAGATGACGGTAAAAACTGTATTATCTCCTTTACTGATAGACTAGGGTCGGATGTGAGGCTGGTAGCTGCACGCACGGACACCACTGCGAAGACTTGGCGACCCTCTTTTTCGACAACTGGTTCTGCGAAAACGGCTTACCCCTGGACATCGTATCAGACCGTGACAAACTTTTCGTATCAAAGTTCTGGAAGGCACTACATACACTGACTGGCATCAAACTAAGGTTGTCGACGTCATATCACCCGGAAACGGATGGAGCCAGTGAACGAACGAACAAGACCGTTAACCAAGTCGACCGAAACCAGAAAGGCTGGGCGAAAGCCTTACCAAAGATACGATTCGACATCATGAACACGGTAAACACCTCAACCGGGTTCTCGCCATTTCAGCTTCGCTTGGGCAGAAGCCCTAGATTGATACCCTCACTACTGACTAAACAGGAACCTGCAGATGCTTCAGCCGAGGAGAAGAACGCCTGGGATCTAATCCGAAAGCTGGAAACAGACACTTGGGAAGCCCAGGACAACCTCCTGAAGGCTAAGATCTCCCAGTCATTTTTTGCAAACAAAAACCGTCAACTGACCTTCCCTTTTAAGGTCGGAGATAGAGTCGTGCTTTCGACGGTGCACCGCCGGCAGGAATACAAAGCACCAGGGAAGAAACGCGTAGCAAAATTTATGCCTCGTTACGACGGACCATACAGGATTACGGACGTCGACGAGGACCATTCAACCGTGACACTCGACCTCCCAAACTCACCAAATATGTTCCCGGTATTCCATACATCTCAAGTCAAACCTTTTACGGAAAACGACGCCACACTGTTCCCGTCTCGGGAGTTCGAAAAGCCTCCGCCAATCGTTACCGAGAATGGTGAAGAATATTACATCCGAGACATAATCGACGAACGACGGCGCGGACGCGGTTGGCAATACAAAGTCCGCTGGGAAGGCTATGCACCGGAAGATGAGACGTGGCTACCAAGACGAGAACTGGAAGACACCGAAGCGCTGGACGTTTGGTTAGCGAAGAGGAGGTCGGACGTTTGAATGTAGTACGTTTTCCCCTTCCTCCCGCCGGCCGGTAGCTTTTTTCCCTACGGGGTTGTTTTGATGCACCCGTGCCTGGTCTTGTTGATAGATTTCTCGCACGGGCAGCGCCACAGCCCTGTTGCTACATTTTGGGTTGAAACCTTTAGTTTTTATTATGGTTGGTGTTTCAGAGGAGGGGAGGGTGTAATCCTGATGGATCACACGTGATGCTGACACGCGCTATTGATGCGTATTTACTGATCGACCGTGCCCTATTTATTCACGTGACGGACATCCCTTTTAGATAGAGTACTCTCTGATCTTGTACCTCTCTGTTCTCTACTCGACGTATACACGCTGGTCTCATTCTACCGTTTGATGTGAGTGTTTGCTACCTACCCTGTAGGATAGATTTACAGA